ATGATCTTGTACATAAGGCAGCTGACTCTTGATAAGACGCAACTGAATGTCAGTTTTCACTTGAAGCTGTACTTGAAGATTTGTACTCTGTGACCACGTACAGTATCAGAATTTTTTGAAAGCAAAGCAAAGTAAACTTTCCGATTTCAGCGTTAGAGCCAAGATTTTCCGTTCCATGACTTCTTACCGGTGTTGTTAAAAAAAATTGGCTCAAAAAGCCCATTCATGTTCTCTCAGCCCTTGGATTTTATATCCTTACAAACATGCAACTCGAGTTGAACTGTCTGCCATTCTTCATCCGGAAATCCCCATTCCATAAATAGCACTTTTATGCAATTCGAATTTGACAAAGCGGATTTTGATAAGGCCAATTTGGGTGGATCATTCCATACAGTGCCTGTGTTGACATCTTCGGAAGTAGCCAGTGAAAACGCCTGACCTCATACATTCAATAAACCACTTTTGTAGCGTCTGATCAGCAAGCAATGTCCGTTTGAGTAACCAAAGCTGTTAGTGGTAATCTGTTGATATGTCGAGCTTCGTCATGCTAAATAATGTTCGACAGTATCCAGTTACACGATGAAGAATATATAGCTATGGAGGATATACTTTCAAGTGAAGATGAGAATAAAGTATTAAATCTAATAATCTGTAATAATCAAGCTGTTCAGGCAGTTCATTGTGAACTGCTTAAAGTCTTAAAGTACTGAAGTATCCACTGGAATTGTTAGGAAAATAAACCTATACATTCCAGCCATGAGTTCAGTACCTCCACTACCACTCTACTAATTGAGCTGGATATTGGAGCAGAGTGCACTGAGGATTAGGAATTCCATCTCTTTATGTTCCAAAAAATGGTATTTTTTTCTTCCACACAGCCGTTCATTTGAATTATGCAAGAAGAAGTGCAGATCTGTATCTTCAAGATTGGAAGAAAAAATAGATCCAGATGGATATAAGCAATTTACGAAAGAATGCTCCTTTAAGAACTCATAAAATGTTGCATAATATGCTAGCTGGTTGAATCGTTTTCTTAAACAAACGTGATTTTGTCTATAAAAGGTGGCACCATCTGGTATAGCAAAGTCACTTGTCAGATGACTGAAATCTGGAATTATGAGGAAAGCCACCTAGTTTAAGGTTTTTAGCTGATGCTTTGGACACCAACACTTAGATCGGAGAGAATGATGTGCTTTCTCTTGCAAATATCACCAGTAATGCTGAAAATCAGGACAACACAATAGTTAGTGTATTTCCAAAAACTGAAAAGTCTGAAAGGGAACTTGAGCGGAAAGCATCAAACGTCGTTCTTTTTGGTACAAGTTCTTCTTGGGGGTTCAATCTTCTTGCTGCTGCCGGGGACACATTATTTTCAACCAAAGAAGCTCTTCTGCCACTTGGTCTGGTCGTTGGTGGGAAAGTTGGTTCAGTTCTAGATCGAGCACGTCTCCTGGATCTTTCAGTAGTGGTAGATCCTACTGTAGTTGCTCTCCTTCCAGAACTTCTACTTCTTACGGTAGGGGTCTCAGCAGCTCTTCTAGGCACAGCCTCAAATCTACTATCAATTTTTCTCCCTGAACGAGATCTAGGACTAATATCTTGATATTGCTCAGCAGTAAATACAGATGGTCCTCTATGTCTACTTTCTGCTACGTCCGCATCATCAAATCTTCTTCTACTTATTCTAGTTCTTGTGTTGGGAGATGTATTGGATTCTTCAGGGCCCGGATTCCGAACCCACGATTCGATAGTATCGTCTATCTCTTTTATATAGACGATACTATCGAATCGTGGGTTCAGAATCCGGGTCCAGGTCTTCTTGTAGCTCGTGTGCGTACACTTCGACTTCTAGGAGCTGCACTCGTTGCACTAGGTTCTTCAATAAATCGACTTCTACCTCCATTTCTACGGCTTGTTACTGATGCTTCTGTTGTAGGAGGGGAGTAAGTTGATCTTGGAGTAAATATTTCTACCATAGTTGATTTTCTTACGCCTTCTTTATCAGGTATTTCATCTTCAATAGGAATTTCAACGAATTACTGGGATTCTCTAGCTGTCTCTATTTCTAATCCTTGTACAACCTCTGGTGCATCCGTTTCGGGACCGAATAGGACGTATTCTTCAACAACTGTTCTCTCTGTGGTTGTGGTAGTAGTAGTTGGAGGTCTTCTCCCACTTTCAACTCTAGCATTTGCTCTGCCTTTGGCTACTCTACCTCTGCCTCCACCGTTTCTAGTTCTCGCTGGTGGTTCTGGTTCAAAATTTATTTCAGAATTTTTTAGTGATGGCAATAGATCAACTCTTAGAGCAGTACGTCTAACGGGTATGTCTTCTTGGTCTAAAATTGGTACTTCTGATCGTGATGGTGTAGGTCTTTGAATCGGTATGTAATTTCTAGGAAATGATCGTGCAGCTGGTGGAGATCCAAACAACAAAACAAAATCACGTTTTCTTGAGCAAACGTGATTTTGTCTATAAGAGGTGGCACGATCTGGTATAGCAAAGTCACTTGTCAGATGACTGAAATCTGAAATGATGAAGAAAGCCACTTAGTTTAAGGTTTTTAGCTGATGATTTGGACACCAACACTTAGATCGGACATGTGCTTTTTCTTGCAAATATCACCATTAATGAACGCAATGGTGTATTGCCAAAAACTGAAAAGTCCGAAAGGGAACTTGAGCGGAAAGCATGCGCCGAGGAACGAGGCGAATATTTATTCATCTTTCAACTCTATATCAAATGACACAGAACTAGGAAGTGAATAAATATTAAATGCACGTAGTTGATGCAGAATATCAACTACAAAAAGTTGCATGTTCAACTTTTTTTTCCAGCAATAAGTGTGGTGTATACAAAATCAATATGGTACCAATGCCAATGCGATAATGGTCTTCGATGGATACCCAGATTTGGTAGGAAAGGAAAGTATTGAGAGAATGACAAGGGTGCGCTGTGCCAGAGTTACAACGTCTTCTGATTTTTTAGTTTCGGTAAGCACGCAGAACAGGAGCCACAAGAAAAATTTCTGGGCAATCAGAACAAGTCTCGTTCTATTTCCATATCCAGAATCGCATTTGAATGATCACATATGATAATAATACAATACAAACTAAAGAGGATTCTCGTAGGTTGTCATAGTAACCACAGCAAACTCGTTTACTCCTCGACGTGGTGCTGTAATAATCATTGGTAAGAATATCCAACTACCTGCTGATGCTCCTTAAACCTCTCTCCTACCAACGTATATACATATACCAAAAGTTGGTAAAAAGAAATCACCCAACTCGTTGTGCTCTGAAAAATATTTTAAGCACAATGAAATAGTATTTATTCATGTCACAATCAGTGCTCCATTCAGTCAAGGTGAAAACTAATTTTGTAATATTCTTCAAAAGAACCCCTCAATGAATGAACTAGTTCGTGAGTTTCAGGATCCAAGGGCAAAAGAAGAAACAATCACTTTAGCAGGCGAAAATCGGTCGCAATTTTATATTGCGGCGATGAGAGATCCGATTTTGAATATTCAAGGTACACATTTTCTGGTAAAGAGCCAAAGGAGAAAAAGAAGTTCAATTTTCAATTTATCCTGAATGCCATCTACGAAAGATGCAGTCCAGCATCACGCTGCATGAACATACTTGCAAGTGCACTGCGGACATTGCTGAAACTCAATGAAAGTTCGAATATATTATGGGAGTAAGAAAAGGATGCCAGTTGCAGCTGCCAATTGCAGTACCAACATTGAAAGAAGCTGCCTCTCAGGCCTTGTTGAACTTTATATCCTGCTGATGCAAGAAGGGTTGTACTGAAAACTATACCTAAAAGTTTGGATTGAACTGATCCCTACTCTGCGTTCATTGCAACGGTAATACCTGCGAGAATGAACTAGAAGGCTTCGCTGATGATGAAGAGTATAATTGGGTGACCCAGTCGCCACAGATTCGGCTGATGAGACAAGGGAAGGCTATATTGAAGCTGGATCAGGGCCCGAGTAACAGACAAAAACTTAAGCTAAGGAAATGACGAATCACTTAAAAAAAAAACTGATTATTCTGTTTTCGAAAGCGCGAATGAGTTAAATACAAAACTTAAGCTCTAAGAACTATTTAAATTAAATGTATTTTAATTATATATCATTTCTACTACACAGATAGTTTTCTTCAGCCATTTACAATAGAACTTTCAAGTAATGATTGAACTTCCACAGCCATGATAATATACAATATTGAGTTCTATTTTCAAATGCATTTTCTTTGAAACCGATAACTATGTGATTGCTACACAATGGAATCAAAATGCGTTTAAAGTAAACGAATGCGATACGTCTATTGCGAAGCCTTGAACTCAGTGCTATATAGTATTCATGTACTAATTGTGCAAGTACTAATAGTAAACCGAAATGCAAATCTAGGCTGGTCATTTATATTTCAATTTACCAATTACTTTAAATAATAGTAGATATATCAGATAAGAATAAACTTCAGGTTAACAAACAACAATTAAATTCAGATTCATGACGAATCGAATACGTTTAGTAAATGAGCAATATTGCTGCTAATATTTATTTAATTTTGCTTGTAGAGATAATATCAATGGGTATTGGAGGGAGCGTGAATTTGCCGGAAATTGAATTTCTTTAAATATCAAAAACCTTTAATTCAATGCCTTTGCAGATTAGAGGATTTAAATTTAATTTTATTGCATTTGCTGATTGACATACATTTTTTCTATGAATAAATCAACAAATATCGAAATTCTTAGTAATAAAAAGTACGCAGTAGACAGTTCATGGCCGAAATGATTCCAAAAACAATCAACAACAATTAATTTTAAAATACTACTAAGCAACATGGCAGATTAGTTTTCGATTTTATAAATTTACTTTCACTGTTATGTGTCACACTATACAACTATTTTCTGCATGAGAACAATTTCAAAACTAGGCCAACATTTATTAGTCCCAACATTTATTTCAACCATATTATTATTTGTTTCAGAATCAAGCAGCCTCTACAGAAGAACCCAGACCAGTCCGAACCCGAGGCAGATCCCGGTTTACTGCAACCGAAGAACTCGCACAAGTCTCGGAACAACCTGAACGAACGACTTCGAATAGAAGAGCGTCTGCTAGAACTCGAATCAACTCGAATACTCCTAAAGTTGCTGCTGATAGACGCGCCCGACCTATTGAAATTTCAACAAGAGGTTATGCTGTGGAAGAAATCAATAATGATTCTCCTATAGATTCTTTCATAAGGCAGAGTAGGCCTCGTGTATTATCTGAAAATCAATTTGAGGCTTCCACTGCTGGTCGACGACCTAATACTTATGAAGCATCTACACCTGCTCCAGCAGATTTATTACCTGTAGACGAACTTGGATTTGGCAGTACCGCTAGAGCTATATTACAAGCCAGAGGAGAGCCCTTGCCTGCCAAAACAACAACACCTGTAGTTGACGAAGAATATTTACTCACCAATTTCGGGAATACTATAAGAACCTTAGCTGGATCTCCACCAGCTGCACGATCATTTTCTAGAAATGACATACCGATTCAAAGACCTACACCATTACGATCAGAAGTACCAATTTTAGACCAAGAAGACATACCCGTTAGACGTACTTCTCTAAGAGCTGATCCATTGCCATCACTAAAAAACTCTGAAATAAATTTTGAACGAGAACTACCAGCGAGAACTAGAAACGGTGGAGGCAGAGGTAGAGTAGCCGAAGGAAGAGCAAATCCTAGGGTTGAAAGTGGAAGAAGACCTCCAACTACTACTTCCACAACCACAGAAAGACAAGTTGTTGAAGAATACGTCCGATTCAATCCCGAAACGGACGCACCAGAAGTTGTACAAGGATTAGAACTAGAGACAGCTACAGAAACTCAGTCATTCGTTGAAATTCCTATTGAAGATGAATTACCTGATGAAGAAGACGTAAGAAAATCAACTGTGGTAGAAATATTTACTCCAAGATCAACTTACTCTCCTCCTACAACAGAAGCACCAGTAACAAGCCGTAGAAATGGAGGTAGAAGTCGATTTATTGCAGAACCTAGTGTAACGACTGCAGCTCCTAGAAGTCGAGGTGTACGCACGCGAGCTACAAGAAGACCTGAAGAATCTAATACATCCTCCAACACAAGAACTAGAATAAGTAGAAGAAGATTTGATGATGCGGACGTAGCAGAAAGTAGACATAGAGGACCATCTGTATTTACTGCTGAGCAATATCAAGATGTTACTTCTAGATCACGTTCAGGAAGAAAAATTGATAGTAGATTTGAGGCTGTGCCTACAAGAGCTGCTGAGACCCCTACCGTAAGAAGTAGAAATTCTGGAAGAAGAGCAACTACAGTAGGATCTACCACTACTGAAAGATCCAGGGAACGCGCTCGATCTAGAAGTGAACCAACTTCCCCACCAACGACCAGACCAAGTCGCAGAAGAGCTTCTTTGGTTGAAAATAATGTGTTCCCAGCAGCAGCAAGAAGATTAAACCCCCAAGAAGAACTTGTACCAAAAAGAACGGCGTTTGTAGAAACAAGTAGATCCAGTAACAGAAGAACTAATCTTGAAGATACAAAAGCTAGTCGAAAAGCGAATAATATCGAAGAAGCTATACTTAATGTTGAAAGGGGTACCGGATCTAGATCCAGCAATAGAAGAGGAAGCCACGTAGACACCCCTTCAAGAAATAGAGTTGGGCCGAGCAGATTTGAACCAGTAGATGTTGGAAATTCAAGAGCCCAAAACGATCAACCTGCTTCGAAAACTAGAAGCTCTAGCAACAGAAATGGGCCAACTAGACAACCAGAAGTCGTTGAAGAAACCACTATTTATTACGGAGAAAAATCTAGAAAAACAGATGCACCACCAGAAATAACAACTGTATTTTCAACAGAAAAACCCATTCTAAAAAATAACATAAGATCCAGAAGTAGATTTCCAGATACCCCACCACGGCTGGATGAATCTAAATTAGAAGTTTTGCCCTTATTTGAGCGTGAAACTAAAGCTACCAATTCTGTAAGGTTTAGAGGAAGCAGATCTAGATCGGGACTAAACAAGAGACACGGTGTAGATCATATGGATGCAAGCGCTACTGAAAATGATGTTAAGTTTGTTGAAAAACCTACCACCAGTGCTTTTACTAGAGTAACTGTGAGTAGAACTGAAAGTTTTGAAGCTAGTACTAGTAGATCTAGGTTAAGTACACGTGTTGCGAGTTCTTCTACAACGGAAGTTCCAAATAAAAGATCTTTATCCACTAGAGCGCCTGTGACGACAACTACAACTGCACCCGAAACTACTACCAGAAAAATTACTAGGGCACCACCAATAATAAAAGAATCGGTAGTAGCGGAGTTTAACCAAGTAACTTCAAAAAGTACCATTACTAGAAGGAAAAAGGTATCCAAAGCTAAAGCAACTGAAATTGGCTCTAGAGGAAACAAGAAAGCTGAGGTTAAATTATTAGATGGACAGAAAAAGAAGACTTCTGATGAAGATATTGGGGAAGAGGATAATTATCCGGAACCGTTCAAGGCGTTGATACAGGCTAAGAAACTAAAGGTAAGTTCCGTGTTACATACAATACATAGAAAATTCTACACCCATTTAAATTTGCTATTCACAATAATCTTCACGTCCTTGAGCCAAGGTAACTAAAACGACCCAGTGGATTCGACGATGGCTCATTCATTGTTAGCGTCCTCATCGTGTTTCTTCGGTCACGGTCTTGGGAACTTGGCTTAGAAGAAAGCACCGAATGGCGCTTCCACGTTATGCAATAATTTGGCTAATTTAAAAGCTTATTATTATGATTTTCTCGGCTAATTATTATTCACTTTCTTGCGATTTGATTGATTTTTTTTGTAAAATGTAAAATGATGTAGAATTTTCTTTTTTTTTAATACAACGTTATCTGAGTGTTAATTTTTCATTAAACAAAGCAAATCTTTATTAGTGACAAGTGAATGAAACTAGTAATTCAACAATCTCCAATATTTTATTTATACATAATAACAATACAATTGCAAAAGGAAAACATAATTACGTATGAAAATTGTTCATGCAGTGATTGCAATTTTGTAAATATAAAATAATTAAGTAAGGGAAATCATAAACTAGCCGATATAATTTTGATGCTGCAGCTTGATGTGGTTTCAAAATGGATGCTCCTTCAAGTTTTATGCTTCAATTTGGAAGATATAAAGCAGTTTATTTGGGATTTTACAAGCGGACACTTCAAAAAGTCCTGTTAACATAATTACATGTATTGTATTAAATAAACATTTATTAAAAACTGGAACGAGTGTTGCATGCATAAAGAGAAGATATTTCCGAGAAATTTGTAATATTGAATGAGAACGGAGATTGCAAATGCTTCAGAAAATTATGAAATAATTGTGTAATTGAGAAATAAGGACTATTTTAGAAGATCACCAGGAAAATAATTATAGCGAACAACTAAGATAGTTGTTGGTCCAGGATTGAAAAGATTTTTCAAAATAGCTGACGGAGCATGCATTTCATTTGGGAAACAAGTTTTTACGACTTTTGCTTCCCTTATTTTCATTATCGACAAAATCTCGACATTTTGTTGTAAATGCTGCAAACATTATTCTTGTACAAGATACCTACCTATATCTTTCATCATACTTTTTAGCAAATTTAATATTGATGATGGTTTGTTTGTGTTTGCCACCCGCGCGCAGACAAATTTGTAAAAATGTTCGTTCAAAATATTTACCTTTTTGGCGACATAAACATTGTTTGCTTGAAGCAGGTAGACATGTTCTAATAAAAATCGTTATTCAAACTTCCATTGAGTTGTTGTTATAAGTTTTACGGTAGACGTGGAAAACACTTAAACATTCACAAGAAAGATACAATACTTATCTTGAAATGTAGGACACGTTACACACTTTACTCCTCTGGTTTTCAAGCGTTATAGGGATCTTTACGTTGGAATCACGAAAATCATGTCGATTCTGCTCTACTATAAATTCTTCTTCCTTAGTTGTTTTGGCTACAGTCAACCCTTGCCACACTAGATCTAGACGTCTCTTCTCTTTTAGCATGTCTGTCTTTTTTCAGTCATATACATATTTGAGTTTGTACGTATAATTTACCACATCCAGTCATCATCTGTAATATTCCAGCTTGGTTTCAACAAGTTGTCTGCGTTAAGTATTCCTTGACCTGGAGATTGTCCTGACACTCTAACTTCCAGTAATTTGCATAATTTTTTACGAAATATCTTTTAATACTTTTTTTTGGTATGCGGTAATGTCATTCGACCAAATAACATACGGTGTGATTGTTGGAAGATAATATTTAAATTATTTAAATTATTTTTTAGGATGATTCGAAGCCATCACCTAGAACTACAGTAGCACCTATCGTGCAGAACAGCACGCCAAGAGTAATCGTGACGTCGGCAAGTGTACCTAGAGGATCGTCCACAGCCCGTTTAGTCACGACCACAGTAGCTCCTAGAAAATTACAGGAGCTAAACGAATTGGTGAGAATTTGAATAATGTTTCTCTAGATTCAACTAATTTCTTGCATTTCCTATTTAAAGCAAATAGTTTCACAAATTGCTTGTTGTAGAAGAGAAAAAAAAATGTATTATTTTAATAGTATTATTTACCGGGGCACTTGTGTAATCATTTAACAATTACTACAGCAAGCTGAACAAGAGAAAATGTAGAATGCGGTTTTTATTTTATACCTACTTATAATTGTGACGAGAAGTGTAGTCGTTGTCGGGCTTATGCGGAAATTTCCTTTAGAGTTATACAACCTGGTCAAACCAGAAAATATTTTTAGGATTAGGTATACGAAACAATCTTTATAAATATTAGACAAATATTTGTATTTAATTTAATTTATGGAAGTATTTTAAATCTATGATTTTAACGTAGGTATATAATCTATTTCCGCAAAATATGTGGCACTCCTTCAATTAAAAATCATAATAAACCCGTTTTTCTTGTCTAATGGGATAGATGTAGAGCATATTGTATACCATAAACAGTTGAATTTGAATATTCATTCGCATGAAATTTTGTTAATGAAAATCAGGGTTGGATTCAGGAAACAACAGCAATGACTACTTTTATAGCATTGTAGCAAAGAAAAAACGCGCCCATCACAGACTATCCATCTTGGTTAGCACGAAAGTTCATCGCCCACTGGAAAGCCATAAACGGAAGACTGATGTGAATGGATATTACGATAAAAGGGTAAAAACTTGAGATCTTTGGAATCCACGCAGCAAATGATTATGCAAATTCAGCCACAAAAGGCAGCTTCTTTGAGGGAATCGGAGAAATATTATCAATCAGTGGATTTTAAGAAATATCAGGAAGACATTAAAGCTGAATAGTCAGTCTCATATCACTGTTGGCTGACATGGGAAAGATGATGTCAACGATAATGGAAACAGAATCATTAAACTTTGCGAACAGTCAGACCTAACAATCCAAAATAGTTTCTCCTGGTCATGGTGGACCAACATGCGAAAGTGGGCAATATTTTCTGGAGGCCAGAATCCCATTCTCGTATCAGAGGACATGCCAGTAGAGCATCGCCATGTGAAAACCCAGATGACAAATACGGAACTTTTAAAAAAGTTTTCACCAATCCGCAAATGAAGCACTAGATCAAATATATAGGGTGTTCCAAGAAGGTTGTACCAAACTTACGAAGTTCATAGGGGACATTGTTGGTGAAATGACTACGCACATTAATTGTAAACGCGCATACACATAGCACATAAATAGCCACCAGGACAATGTGCTTTCGGGTGGTACTGGTTAATTTTTATGATTGACCCGCTAGCCCGATTGTTTTTAACAGTTTTTAGAAATAATTTATAAAAACCGGAATAATTTTATGATCTTTCGGAATTAATCGGGAAAGGCCGGCCGTACGTTAGCAGATTTCCAAAAAAAGGATATGTCCGGCTAAAGCCGGACGTCTGGCAGCCCTATGAACACCCTAATACCAGCACGCATGCAATAGCGTAATTACCCAAACTCTGTGGCGGGTACTTCACGAGCAGCTCCTCCACCCATACCACATTCAAAAAGGGGCAGCACTGCGTCCGTAAGATTATCAGCCGCAAGTTTATTTTTGCTAATGGTTTTCGCAAACCAACCAGATTTTGGTTGGATCATTCTGTGACTAGTCTGTGACTAGTACTTCCCGAGCTATCGGACAGTGCACATGTTCCTGAGTATACGAGTTAGAATGTGGTTCCAACATGACCGTACACCTACACATTTTGCCAGTAATGCGCAGGATCACCTAAACCAACAATTTCGTGAGCGATGAATCGGAAGAGGATTCCTGATTTAACACCATTGGATTTTTTCCTCGGGGGTGTATGAAACTCAAGAGGAATTGGTAGGAAGAGTGATGGCAGCCTCCTCTTTCTTACAGCAAGGTCTGAACATCTTTCAACAGGTGCGCGATTCTATGATGCGAAGGAAAAATTAAGGTAACGAAGCTGGGTGTAGTCAATTTGAAACTTTATTACAATTTATTTTCCGTCATCTTTGATAAAAAAATAATTAGATATTAACGACTTTTAGAAATTAGAACATAACAGTAACACGTTTCCAAAAAAAAATGACTCTGGAGCCAAAATGGCTCATTCCCTATGCAAACATTTTTCATCTCAATGTCCCCCAAGTTTAGTACAACCTTTTTGGAAAATCCTGTCTATTTAAAAAAAAAGCCCTACTGGTGGGCTGAAGGGATTGAGAGATAAGTAGAGGATATGAGAAGACTGTACCACACATATTCAAAAAAAAAAAACCGTGGAGAGATCTAGCAACATGTCGAAATTCCTAGGACACGAGACAAAGCTGGTGAGCTCCAAAGTAGGGTAGGATCTAGATGGGCAGCTTTCGAAAATTTAAAACAAATCTTACGATCAGATATATCAATATGCGTAAAAAGGGGAGCCACGGTGAGTGGTCTAACGCCAGTGCTGACTTACAGCGCAGAGATGCTGACTCTAATTAAAAAGGCGATAAAAAAAAAGATCCATGGAGCCATGGAACGAAGCACGCCTTTGCGATAAAGAATTCCAATTGCAGAAATAGGAGTGGTGCCGCAGATGATATGAGAAGGATAACTACATTAAAATGGAGCTGGGCCGGGCAAGTTGACAGAACATATGATGATAGATAGACCAGATTTTTTTTCGAATGGAGACCAAGAAACGAAGCCTCCCGAAACCAAGGGCGACCAACGACAAGATGAGAGAAGAGGTATCATATCGAACTGGATACAAATGGCAACCGGAAACCAGTAGCATCATTCACGAGAGGCCTAATATGTCAATCAGTGGACACATAGAAGATGAGGATGATGACGATAACGCTTGTAATATACTGGTGGCAGAGCCGAAGACGTAATAGCGAGGTATAAAAATGTTTAATTATAACAATCACAAAACGTGGTATCAAACTAATGTCAAAATACAATGTCGAGCGTGATTGTAAAAGGCTCGGTGGTGGGACATCGACTGCCGACGTTACTCTCAATCAGAAACCAGCTCAGTGCCTTCGCCAGAATGTCATGCGCGTAAAGCGCACATTTGGCTGAATACATAACATCCTTACGTCAAAATGGCTGATCATCCCTCAGATGATTCCATTTCATTCTCCATGACGTAGTCTTGATACTTGGCAGTCTTGACCGCAGTCGAACGAGCAGATCTGGAGCAAATAGGCGCATCCAGGCATGTCATGGCGGACCCCTGGTCTTTGTTTGGCTTTCCTGAGGTTCTTGTCGGTCTTTGTTGTTTTGGTGGTAAATTAGAGACTTATGGGTTGTCTCTTTGGTCACTGAAAAGGCCACCGGAAGAGTGCTGCCATTCACCAGGGTACTCTCATTGTGGTCCTGGTTTGGATCTCGAAGCTACCTCCAGTTTCTGTGGAGCCTGGCTGCAGGATTTTCTTTTTTGAAAGTTGGAAAATCTCCCTTGACCCGCAGTAGAGCCAAGATGGATAAATTGCGTGGCTGACCTGTGAGAAATATTCGTTAGTGTTATAGTCAGAAACAGATACAAATGAGTCGTCAGTTTCCTGGTCGCTTTGGCAGTCTTCGACTTCGATGCTGTCTGTCACCAGAGCTGGGCAGTAGCTAGCCACCAAGTAGTTAAGCTACTAGCTTAGCTACTTTTTTGGTAGCTAATAACTTATTCAAGCTACTTTGAAAAAAAAGTAGCTTGTAGCTGTAGCTTTTGGTAATGCGTTTCATGTATTCATAAGCTACTGTGAAAAGTAGCTAGCTACTAAAACAAGCTACTTAAGCTACTTTTAGTAGATAGTTAATAGTTATTTAGGTATTAATGGCGGAAAGTGTCATTTACCGCCCGAGAGTGTGGTTAACGATACTTAACGCCCAAAATACTTATTACGTTTTATGCGCAGCGGACTCTTCTAGTTCAAAAATTAAATAAGTAACATTGTTTTCAAAAATAAACAGTTTTCCTACAAAGGCACGTTTCTACCAACTTATCGCCCGCAAACACGGGCGGTAAGTTGAATTTACCGCCCGATAAAAGTAACTTTATACTTTAATTGCTCCAGCTACAATTATCATTTTCCAGAAAAATTTTATCCTGCCTTGTTTAGACTAGTTTCTACTTGTCTCTGTAGGTACCTATGTTTTATGTGTCCTGTTTTATTCTCGCATTCGCAGATCCCTGTGATCAAAGTGAACCTAATAAATTAATGTCCAGTGGTTTTTGACAAAAATATGAATACTACTTCTTTAGAAAGTTTTTCGTATGATGATATTATGAAATTAAATTAGGTAAGGTATGTATGTACATTGATGGTTGCGATTGTGCACGCTTTTTTGTTTTTATTAATTTAACTTTCAAAAAAGTAGCATAAATAGTAGCTTTTCCTAATTCAAAATGTAGTTAAGTTACTAATAGCTTAGCTAATTTTTCAAAGAGGTAGTTGAGCTACTGAGTAACTTAGCTACTTACAATATAAAGTAGCTTGTAGCTTGTAGCTAGCTACTTTTTCCAAGTAGCTTGCCCAGCTCAGTCTGTCACTTCATTATATGTCCCAGTGTCCAGGTTTTCACTTGTGCGAAATTCACTAAAGCGAGTACTAGAGTTATTGATGTTAATAGTTTTTGTTATACTGGGCATCAGGGGTGATTTAAATGCTATTTTGGGTACTGAATTGCGTGATGCTGGTTTTCTGAATAAATCATTTGATTTTGAGTTACCTTCTGGCTGTATTTGTTCTTGCTTTCTTTCCTGTCCAAAGGTTGCCGCTCTAATTTTTTTTATGATCTTTGCTGGGACCCAGTTTGTTTTGTTTTGTGTCCTGTAGTCCCTGGCCTATATGTTTTCACCAATTCTAAAGTTTCTAGATCTTCCCTTGTAATAGTGCTTTTGTTGTTCCTGTGCCTTTTTTAAGTTTTTTGTGATTTCATTTTCCTCTTGTTCTGGTGTTTCTTGAATCTGTGATAATCTCGTTCTCA